AAAAAAAAAAAACTAAAAATGACAATTCTAAGACATTTTAATGGGGTAAAGAATACTCTGAGCGAAAAAATTTCTTTCCGCAAGACAATTACGTCCCGCATAATAGTAACAGTTTTGTGCGTCTTGTCTCTAAAGATACAAGCAATTTTTTTGAATACTCTATAACACATCAGATTTTCGAGCTATGACAAACTTGAATAGAGCCTACAACTGAGCACATTTTTTGTACGATGCGTGAGAGTTCCAGATTAAGATGCAAATGATATATAGATGACTTATTTTTCTTCAGCTCTACCGAGTCTTTTATACAAGGCTTCCAACCCATTAGGGGATAACTCTTATCATCGACCAATTAAAATTGAGAAAAGTCCACTAATGACTATTGTAATAGGCATAAACGATCATGTCAGTTTTAGGTGTTAACACACACCACTACTCCACCTTATAAACAGCCAGGTATAGTCTATATGTCCATCTACATTGTATCTAGAGACGTCCACACGGGTTGAATTAAAACAAGAGTACTTCTAAACCCAACTAAATCAGGCCACAAATTGCAAATAAATTTGCAGTAAAAAAATTATATTGGTTGGGCCCAAGGCTCAAGCCCAATCCAAAGCCTAGGCTCATGTAGGGCGGGGCGCGTGTGACCGAAACCACCACCAACATTGGGTGACATAGCTTTGTTTAGTAATGTGATCTCTCCAACTCTCCCTATTACTTTAATAACTAAAGAGAGTTGTTCTCATTTAAAAGTATAATGTGCCATACATTCCAATTCTCTTTTGTATAATTAAAAGAATTATCTTCATAAAAAATCCAATGTGATGGACTCTTTAACATCTGAATCTGTCAACATTTTAGGTGTTCGTTAATTGTTAACTTTAATCATTTATTTTTCACCTATCCAAAATCACTATTGATAAAATAGATATACCACAAGTATTTTTATTCGACGTAATATAATCAACGTGTTCAAAAAGCACTTAGAGATAAGGGGATCTGCAGTTGTATTTAATGGTTTTAATATTATATTATTATGGATAATCAATGTACTCTAGAAGTACTTTAAATATATATAATATATAATATATGAAGTTGGTGTGGGGTATCAGCAGATGTATTTGATGATTTAAGTTTGGGACATTGGATGTGATTTAAATTTGGGACATTGGATAATGAAGACAACCAAAATGTATAATTCACTGAGATTCTGTATATCTTAATAGTTTAAAAGTATTTTTAAATTATACTTATTTGATGATTTAAGTTTGGGGCATTGGATGAAGACCAACAAATTAAAGTGTATAATTCATTGAGATTTGGTATATCTTTAAAAATATTATAAATTATACCCAGAAAAGAAAAGGTAATTAAAGTTAAAATGAGTACACTTTATTTTGCGCGTGAAGTTACACCGTCTTTCTTAAAAGATTTTATTTTTTTTTTTTTAAAAAAAAGAGTTTAATCACCACCAAAACAAAATGTTTAAATTATATTGATATTCATTTAACAACTTTAAATAACAGGTATTATTTAATATATATATTATAAATTTTTGAATTATTATTTGGATTTAATTAGATATAAATACGTTTTTTTTTCTCCAAATATTTTTTAAACTCTAGTTAATTTCATTTTTATAATTGAATGTTAATTTTGGAGCGTATTTGGTAAACACCATAAAATAGCCTGTATCTTATTTGTATATATATTATACTTACCAAACACCATAAATTAGCCTGTATCTTATTCAGATAGCAACTTTTTTTTTTTTAAACTCTAATTAATTTCATTCTTATAATCGGGTACAAAAATTTCGAAGCGTATATATATCTTGTTTAGATGGCATTTCTTTAACTCTAATTAATTTCATTTTTATATATAATCGAGTGCGAATCTTGGAGTGTATTTGGTAATCACCTTATAAGCTATATACCAATCACACCATAAACTAGCTTGTATTTTATTTAGTTAACTTATAAGAGTTCTGTATTTTTATTTATCTAAATGACGAGTTTTTTATTTATTTATTTTTTAACTCCTTAGATAGTTTTTATTTAA